CTGTTTTTGTTTTTAAACTTTTGCTAAGGTTACACCTGCCATGGTCACTACTCTGGCAACTTCAACCTGCTTTTAGTTAAATGTTATGCTTCAGTGTAAATTGACTGAAATGCAGACTTTACAAATAAGCATTAGACACGTGTTTCACATCATTATTTGGTGATTTAATCATTTAAGCGCATAAATGTTGCATAATGTGATTATGAGAGCCAACTTGTGATTGTGAATTGGTTATTTATTTGCAAAGAAGTATCATACTTTCCCGTTTGTCTCAGACTGTGGTAGGGTTGCACTTTTTGCCGGTACCATGGTAGTATCGCGATACTATGGCTACAAAATACTTGCGGTGCCATTGTAATTTGTAAACGGTAGTATCATCATTAACAGTCTATCTACAATAGATAGTGCTGCATGTGGAAAAGTCACTAAAATGCTCACACATTTGTGCAACAATAGACCATTTATTTTATTATAAAGAAAAAATAAAGCCCTTTAAGGCTGCATGTTTTTTGACATTTCAAACGCAGACCTGAATCAGTTCATTTCTGTTCATGTCAATATAATTTAGTAGCTACAACAACCACAGCAACCTCTTAAAAAATGGTTCACAATCAAATTGAAATTTTGAATTACCCGATAAGACTGTAGAAAAAAAAAAAAAAACAACAGATAAAAAACCCAAAACAGCAACAGGAAACAATTTTTGACCACCTCATATATGCAAAATATGATGGGACAATCGCAACTGTCCCACTTTTACAGGTACTCTGCCCTGCACAAATTGTGGGCCATACTAATTTTGTTTTAAAAAAATGCTCTTTGTTTTATTTGATATAATTTTTGTATCTTTATTTTAATGTATTTTTTGGTGGGCAGTTATTTACAAAACAAAAATAAGAATAAATACATTTTAGGTGAAGTGACGTGCAAATAATATTTATTTCAATAATAAGGGAATCATAAATAAATTTAAGTAGACCTATAATAACATGTAAAATACAGTATTCCAGACAATTTTCTTTATAATTTAACATATGAATTACAGAATCGCAAAACTATTGGATATCGTGATACTTCAGCTGGTATAGTATTGTAAGGTAATGGTATAGTAATGGTATTGCAACCACCTTAGACTGTGGATTGGAGGTTATAAAGTTAGAAAAAAAAATTACCAGCGTACAGGTATTATTATATTATTTCAACTTTCCTTGTGAAAGCTTTTTTAACTCCGAAGTAGAAGTAAAGCATTTACTTGTATTAATTGAATGAAGACCCATGGTTTCAAATAAAATTTAAAAAATGATTTAAAAATGTTAAATACAATGTGTTACACATCTAAATCAGAAAAATGAAAGACAGCATGGAAAACGCAAATAAAAAACAAAGTAGGGATATGAAAATTTATATTGTCTTGCATTTCTTTGCAGACAATATGAACACAAAATATTTAATGTTTTGAAACTTAATTTCATTTGTAAATATACATCCTACCAAGAAGACATGATTTCCAGGGACACCCATGCATATTTCAACATTTCAAAGTCAATGCAAAACCCCTTTCTGCACACATTCAGGATTTAAGTACAAGACTGGACTGCCTGCAGTCCCGACCTGTCTCCAATAGGGAATTTGTGGCACATTTAAAAAGCGCAAAATGCAACAATGAAAACCCTGTTGCACACCTTAAGACTTGTTCTAGGAAGAATGGGACAAATTTGCACCTGAAACACTTCATCACTTAGTGTCTTCAGTCCCTAAATGCCTTTTAAGTGTTGTGAAAAGGATGGGCAACATTACAAAGTGGTAAATGCTTTACTGTTACAACGTTTTTTTTTATATACTTGTTGCAAGAACTAAAAATGGAATACGTGTTTATTTTGAAAAAAAGAAAAAGAAAAATCACAAGGAACAAATATTTTTAGCTGGTTTGTACACAATCAAATACTAGTCAAAGTAAACATAGAAATCACAACTTTCTTTTTTATTTGCGTGTGAAATAATAACCTATGTGAAGTAAAAACAGGAAATGTCCATTTTAAAGTAAACTATCCCTTTAATGCATTCTTAATTTAAAACATTAGTTTTATTTGCTTACAGTTATAATAGCATTACTATTTTTTTATTTTTAACATCAAAGTAAATCTTTAAAATATTTTAATAGAGTACTGCAATCGGTACCTACCAAGAACTATGACATTTTACTGATATTGGGACTGTTGGTATCATGGCGACACTATAAGGAACAAAATAAAATCCCCAAAATGATCCTACATTTGCTAACACAAGCTATTCCATGAGCACACAGCCTTTCCCTTATGTATTCAGCGTTGCATGTGTCTAGCGTTGTGCGGATGTGTGTGTTTAGGGTGCCGTTGACAGTGGAGGAGTGTAATGAGAGTAATGATTAAAGGCCGATTAAAACTGCATGAGCATTATCGTGCTCATTTTCAGCCTCTGCTGCGCTAACTATCAAATACTGCTTTGTTTCAGCCAGTGTTCTAGTGTATAGGCATGTAAGCAGTCACACACATTCCTGTATGTGCCATTTAAATCATGAATTGAAACATTCCTACTACAAACCTGCATGAAATCCAGAAACTGAGTCATGTTAAAAGCATTCTGTTTGATTCTAAATGATGCACAATGGTGTGTGTGTTTTGATTGCGTCTCGTGATCTGGCCTGCTCTCTGAACTCTAATGGTTGAGCATGTGATAAATATATGACCAGCCATGAACCCCTTCAGAGGTCCATTTAATCAGCAGTCAGGAGACTCCACTGATTCAAGGCCGGCTCTCAGGGCATCATGGGACAGAGAAGGGCAAAGGTCATTTTTTGATCATTAAGGGCTGAAAACAGGCACGACGTCTTTGAAATAAAAGTCATAATCTGATGTGAATTATGTCTTGTTAGGCTGATACAGTGTTAAAATGAAATTGATCTCAGCATTTGAACAAACTTTTTTAAATAATAAAATGTATAAATTTGTGTGTATATATAAAGTTTGGGGTCAATTAAAAAAATATATTCTGTTCATCAAGGTGGCATTTATTACATGTAAAAACATTTTTTAAATTGTTAAAACACTAATTACAATTTTAAATAACTGCTTTCTTATTGTATGTAGTTTCAAATTAAATTATTAGTCTAATCATTATTGCTTTTAATACTATTACACTAATAATAATAATAATAATAATAATAATAATAATAATAATAAGTAATATTAGAGTGATTTCTGTAGGATCATGTTACTCTGAAGACTGGAGTTATGAAGCTGAAAATTCATCATTAAAAACACTGGAATAAATGATAAATTTATTGATAAACTACTTTTGAACAATTATTTTATCGTGCGATAACATTTCACAATTTTGTAATTTGCACTGGACTTTTGATGGATTAATTGCAGCTTTGGTGAGCAGGATAATATATAAAACCAAAGCAAAATAAACAGAACCATTAAAATGCATTCTGGGAAAAATAGAAATAAATAAAACATGGTGGGAAAAAAATCTGATGAACGTAAAAAAATCAAAACTGCATTCAAGCTTTGAAAAAGGTCTATAAATTAACAGTGTCATGACTTTAACAGAACCTGTATAGCTTATGGTTTACTGTAATGTTTCCATATATTTATAAGTCAAAAGAATGATTCGCACTCAATTGCTTCATACTGTTTTTTTTTTTACTTTTTCTTACATTTTACGGTAGATAACAGACAAACAGACGTTTCGGCACAAAGCCTTCCTCATATATTTATAAGGAAATATACAAATTTATTTTCGAGACTTTGATCTTTGTTCTGACAGTTTTTGACACTCTTTTAGCTTAACTTTCTGCCTGCTAAATAAATGTTAGCGTTTTACTGTAGCATTTTACTAAAGCCTCTCCCTTTTGTATTGACATATTAAGAGAAACCTTCCACAGATGACATTAGGTTGAAAACAACCAACAATATTCTCAAAGAGAAGGGAATCTCTCACTACATACTTCAGGGAAAAAAGCAGAATGAAATGCTGTATATAATCAAGCAAATTACGCATGAACATATCCTTCAGTAAAAACCTTCAGAATATAAAGAAATCTGATCTGTGTCTAAAAGCCTGCTGAAGTGTAGATTTATATTTCAGTGCAAAAGAAAAAAAAAGAGAAAAGGCCTGCATTGTAACTAGAATCTACAGACATACAGTATATGGATAATGTGTGACAAAAGAAACATTTAAAAGTGTACTTTGGATTTCTTTGTACATTAGAATAATTAAACACTTCAAAACCAAATATCCTAAAATTTCTATTAAAAAAAAATAAAAATAATAATAATAATGAAAATGTTGACTCTTTTACACTGTAAAAAATCCAACTTGACAAATGTTGAAATTGCTTGATTTTTTTTGTTGGTTCAGCAAAAATCTGTAAAAAAGTCTGTACAACTACATTTAACACATTCAATCAACTTAAACAAAGATTTTATTCATTAAGTTAAAAAGATGAGTTTTGTGAGCAACACTTTGCTAGTTCATCCAAAAAAGCATTTGCCAACTTGTTTTTTTGTGTTAAGTCAATCTCTAACTTTTTTTAATGCAATGAATATACAAGTAGCATAATCTTTTGTTGATTGAAAAGGTTTCAAACATGTTAAATATATATATAAAAAAAATCAATGGCAGTATAGAACCTTTTCCCAGAGATGGGTTGGGGCTGGAAGGGCATCCGCTGCGTAAAAACCTGCTGGATAAGTTGCCGGTTCATTCCACTGTGGCGACCCCAGATTAATAAAGGGACTAAGCCAACAAGAAAATGAATGAATGAATGAGTATAGAACCTTTCATAGTTTGTATTAAAAAGTAAATGCTGAGTGAAAATGATATTATTATTATTATTATTATTAATAATACAATAATAACTATTATTATTCTTCACATTGTTATTAAAAACAACAAAAAACACTACAATACTTATAGTAACTTTATTTGAAACTTTTAATTTGCAATTTAACTTTATTTGGTGCACATTTGCAGAAACAAGCTTGCACGCACATTATCATCTCGTGTTTATTCATTACCCTTTACAAAAAGATAGGCATACTTTGATATTTCCAATATTTAAAAATAAACCACGCACTTAAAAATATGTTTCTCAAAGGACGATATAGCATCATTCTGTCCTGAGCTAAACCACGCCCTCGTTACGATGGTTGCGCTTACGTAACGTCAACGTCTCAGGCGGGAGAAATTGAAAGCATTGTACTTCAGTGGGGAAAGAGGCAAGCCGTGGAAGAGCAATCTTAATAGTAAGTGTGCAAAGATTGTAGTTCTTTGTTTAAGACACTTCATCTAAATTTGTCCTCCTAAATGTTCATCATATACGGCTTGTGTAACTGATGACAACCGATTAAATTCTTATTTTATCTAGTAATTTGTTAGCTCCAAGTTTAATGATAATTTGAGAAATTATATATGGTACGACAGCAATAAAATAATAAAAACATTTAGTGTGGATGTTCCCAATGTTTAGATGCAAACAAAACAATATTATTTATAAATGGATTATATATATCATTTAGGGAAAACAGTGTAAAATGCGCTTATTTTCGAGATAGCACGCTTCCATGCAGACTGTTTTTTAAGCAGAAGTTTGGTTTCATAAGAAACGCATGCGTGAGTCAACTCCTGACCCAAACTCCAACCCAGACGGTGGCGGTAATGTTCCAAAAGCTGGTTGCCAAACGCTATGAAGATCACAAGAAGAAAAAGAAGTTTGGCGTTTCAAAACAGTGGATTCCGGTCAGAAAGGTAAGGTTTTTACTGCTTGCATACTGTATACTTTGCGAATTTAATGCTTAAAACATTTTCACATTGTTAGGTTATTGTTAAGGTATTGTTTAACTTGTTTATGCAGTGCATCAGTGATCGTTTACTGTTCTCTTCAAATTATCATTCTATTATTAAGAGAAATATATTAGTATGTGCTTTAATTTATATGTGTTAGCCTATGTGAATCAATTATATCTTATGTTCAAGTTGTAATTTGCACATGTAAAACTAAATTTCTTAAAGCAGATTTTAAAGGGTTTTATTTTTTGGTTATTGACAGTTATAATTTCTGATTTAAATGAATGGGTATAAATGAATATTTTTTCAGTTAAGTCTTATTGTTCTTGTTTAACAAAGGTTAGTGAGGTCATTTCGTAGCATATCACAGAGACCAATAGCACATTCTTATGTACATGTGAATAGGCATGTTATAGTTGGGTGATTAAAGTCCATTATAAGCTGTAAACTGCTGATACATTTTCAACATAGATTGAGCTTTTCAGACTTTACATTACTAATTGCTTCACAAACAGCTGAAATGATTTATTGTTATTGGCTATTATCATCATCAAACATTTTTCACAATGGTAGGTTAATCTTCATGGGTACAGAATAATGCATGTGCTTGACCATCTTACAAATCTATGTCTCAGATTTATAAGGCTGTCACTCTGCATGAATCTCTGAATAAATCCTGTGTAACCTTCAGTGAGCTGATTATTTACACTATATGTATTATAGCCATTAATTAACTTTGATAGTATTTCAGGATTTTAACTTTTTTGGGGGAGGTTAACAACAATGTGATGTTTTATTATAGACACACATGAGGAAGCTCGACTCAGCTTGGCTTGCAGACAGATGAGGACGGTGATTGCCTGTCATACACCTAAAGAAAGAACAGGTTTGTTTGCAATTATTTTAAACACATACTGTCAACATTATGTCATTGATCTATTACACTGCCATTGTCATTGATCTAGTGCCCTGCACTACACTAAAATAATGTTTTGTTTTGTAAATGTATCTGATCAAGGGGCATTAAAGACACAACTATAGTGAACGTGATGAAGAAAAATTATTTGGAACAAAGAGGCTGGAGAAAAAACTGGTATGAAGATTTCAGAAATTGATGCAGCACCACAAGTACCATCACCACCAATGACTATGGCAGGATCCTTAAGAACATTATCAAGATGCACAAATGCTGTACATTTCAGTACACCTATGAACATTTACAGTCCTTGTTCAAGTGCAGTCGGAGATCAAGACAACTTATTGCAACTCGTCATGTCTTTGTAAGAATTCAAGACATCACTAAATTTGTAATGGCTTAATGCAGCTAGAAAGTAAAGATCAACTAGAGAATATCAGCAGTGTCTAACCCACTGTTGTATTTACACAAGTTGCATGAGAATAAGCAACAGGTTGATTTATACTAATTTGTTATTTTTCTTTTTTTAGCATGACTGACAAAAGTTTTAAAATCATGTGACGTCATAAAGCAGCAACTGTGCCTGATTCTCACAAAACCAAAACAGACATGATGAAATTCCAGATGTAAACACATTTGACCTTCCTTTGTCCAATTTGATTTGGAAAAACTTGAAAATCAACTAAAGGAGCAGCCCGAACAAATGAAGAAACTGGTAAGTTTCTTGCTTATTTCTAAGTGTTTTATGTTTATTTATTTATTTATTTGTGTGTTTTTTTTGCTTCGTAGGTAGCCTACTTTGGAATCATTGGTGTTTTCCACTAAGCAGTTTGGTGTGTCCCGGGAAAGCTTTTGGCTCACTTTTTGGCTGAACAAATTAACTGGAGCAGGGCAAACCAAAATGTGGCCTTTCATGCACTCTCCCTTAGGACTGTCTAGTCAGTAAGTTGGTTTTAAATATACATTTCAGTACAAATAGGGGCAGTTCCATCTGTGTATTTCTTTGAATCATTAATCTGAGGAACAAAACATCTATATATAGTCCCATTTAAGTTGTACTTGTATGAGAGCAAGCATCTTTCTTTTTTTCATTTGTACTTTTTCACTACTAATTGTTTGTTTATCTATTAATCACAGATGTGAGGAGAAATGTCCATACCACGCCACTGATAAAGAAGTGGAAAAATGCATTACAAGGTGGCTACAACGTGCTCCTGACAGGGCTGGAGGAAGGAGGGAAGAAGAGAAAGCTAATGTGTCAAATGTCTACATCAATAATTTATTTTTTAAACAACATTTTAAGTGTATTAAGATGTTCCCTGATACTTGGGTAATTTGTTTCTTTTATTTGCAATTATATATATATATATATATATATATATATATATATATATATATATATATATATATATATATATATATATAAAATGACAATATGCTAAATTCTGAAGAAGCATCTTAATACATTTTTATTAACATAATATAATAAAAATATCAATAAAAAATTGCACAAGATATATAAAGATATACAAGTCAAATTTTATATATATATATATATATATATATATATATATATATATATATATATAATCATCTCACTCATTAAATGTATTATTATGTTTTATTTATTACATTTATTAAAAATGTTTCTTAAGAATTCTGCAGTTCTTTTTACAATTTTGACTTGTATATTTTACATATTGTCATGGGTATTTGTAAGATGTTTCTTGCTATATCTTAAATTGGTTTCTATATTCAGGTTTATATAAAATTAAGCTGTTTCAGGATGTGTCTTGTACAATTTTTTAATTCAAGTCTATTGGGAAAACAGGGTTGTTTTAAAAACTTCTGTGTATGTGTGCAATTTCAGATTTTGTCTTTAAATCCTCCTGTGTGTCTTTATTGTGTAGTTTTATTATTATTTTTATATTGACGTTCTTGTGCACTACAAAATATTTTATTCAAGTTTAGTATTATTTGTTTATTGCAATCAATAAATGTTTATTATTATTATTTATTTTGTCCTTTGTTTAATAATTTTTGTTATTGGATATGTATGCTGTTTGCATTTTATTCAAAGGTTGAACGCAGTGCCTACACTTTGCCTTTACATTATAGCCTGCGTTTGCTGGTATATAAATGCAAATGGTTGTAATACCATGTATCAAGTACCAATATAATACCAAAAGGTTTTATATCAAGGTATATTGAGTTGCGCCAGCTCCGGGCTGCAGCGCACATTACTCGCGGGCCGATTCTGGCTCGGATGAGGCAGCGAATCTAGCTGGAACTGGCCCAAGTGTATTTTACTATCTAGGGTGGCTCTTAAAGTGACAGCGCGTATATTCCAACTGCTTATTAGTATATTAAGCAAACAAAATCAAATCAAAACCAGAATAATAGTAATAAATCGTTCATTTTGAACTGAAGGTGTATACAGTGGAACACTTATTACTAAAGTAAGATCCTTTACTGGCAGTTTTAATATCATATTTATCCATGACCAGCCAAGGTACCAGCACAAAACATGTAATTATGCAAGTATAGATTTTGAAATGAATTACAACAAATACTAAGATTTATATCTCAAGGCAACTAGTAATTCAGATTGATTGCCCTGCTAAAAAAAAAAACAGCATATGCTGGGAAGGTATGTTTTGATGCTGGTATGCTGGTCTTGCTTGTTTTAATGCTGGTCCTGCTGGTCTCAATGCTAGTTTTGCTGGTCCTAATGCTGGTTTCAATGTTGGTCTTGCTGGTCTCAATGCTGGTCAGGAGCAGCACTTAGACCAGCAAAACCAGCATTGAGACCAGCACTGAAACCAGCAAAACCAGCATTGAGACCAGCATCAAAACATACCTTACCAGCATACGCTGTTTTTTCAGCAGGGTGTTGTGAATAATTTATGGGATATTCTAAGGTTATTAAAATTGATAGTGTAAGGTAGTCTCAGAGATGTGCTGTAATTGTTATATATTTAATATAATTGTGTTTCCTTCTCATGTGATTAATTTGACTTAGTGTTTGTGTTTTTTTTTTTTTTTTTTTTTTTTTTTTTTACAGATACACTACCATGTATGTCTTTTTTGCCATGTGTGTTTGCTCGGATAACATATAATTTCTTAGTACTAATTTCCTTTTGTATTTTCTTGTTCTCTCAACTTCTGTCATTTTTGGCCATCCAGACAAGAAATGTTCAGTTAACACAACTTTTGCTCTGGTAACATATAATTTCTTAGTACTAATTTCCTTTTGTATTTTCTTGTTCACTCAACTTCTGTCATTTCAGGCCATCCAGACAAGAAATGTTCAGTTAACACAACTTTTGCTCTGGTAACATATAATTTCTTAGTACTAATTTCCTTTTGTATTTTCTTGTTCACTCAACTTCTGTCATTTCAGTCCTGCAGACAAGAAATGTTCAGTTTGCACAACTTAAAAATATTTGTTGTGCTGCAGGTGCAGGTTTCCAGAAAACTACTAATGTTAAGTTGACTCAACTAGACATTTTTTGTTTCACTGACAAATTATTTTCAGTCAGTGTAGCTGATGTTTTCAAAAGTTGAGTAAACAAGAAAAAACAGAAGGAAATTAGTACTAAGATTTTTTTTGTTGAACTGGCTTAAAATTTTTTACAGTGTAGCTTAACTTTCTGCAAAATATATGTTCCTGTTTTACTGTAGAAGCATTTCCCTTTTGTGTTGACACACTGGGGGAAACCTTCCAAAGATGACATTAGGTTGAAAATTCTCAGAGAGAGGGGGCTTTGGAATCTCTCACTACATACTTCAGGGAAAAAGCCATTGTATATAATCAAGCAAATCATGCATGAACATATCCTTCAGTATAAAAACCATCAGAATATGACTGAAACTGTTGAAGTGTAGATTTATGGAAAAATAATATTGTGGAGAAAATGTGTTGTCATTAAAATGTGTGACAAGAAAAAAACTAAAAATATTTTGGATTATTTTTTTTTTTCGTACATCAGACTAATAAAACATTTTATAAAAAGCCAAATATCCTAAAATGCATATACTAAAACTCAGCATCTGTGACGTAAGCGCATGGCTTGTCATGGCTGTATGAAGTCATACACACCATGTGTGTGCAAAAGACACAATACACCGTCTGCAATGAGTTCACACGCACTGAGTGGAAGTGGGAAGTGAAGCATAGGCTAGACGGTATGGTATAAATGTCCTGCTGGATCATTTTTCCCACTGCTCCAAATCCCCAGCAGGACACAGACACAGAGCCAACACGTTCATGAGCCATTACGCATTTATGAATGGAGCGCATGGTGTGGTAATAGAAGCAGGCCTTGGAGCCAAGAGAACTGTCAATCACCAGCTCAACCAATAGCAGAGCAGGACACACTAAAGAGAGCTCACCCAGGTCTCCCTCTAAATAAAAAGATATCAAGTCTTAAATAAACGTGTAATTAATCAAGTATGATATATTATTTTGGTGACATTACATTTTTACTATAGGCTTTCTGTTGTTAAATTGAACATTTGATTTGTATTATCATTAATAAAGAATAAATAAATGTACAGCATTTACACATTAACTACTTAACTGCTATTTACACTCAAAAAAATCAACTAGGCATGTATTGGATTTAAAAAATAAAAATTTGTCAGATTGAAAAGAACAAATCAAGTTTACGTATGTTAAATGATTAATTCATGTTATTTGAAACTGAATAATCAAATGAATTTGATCTGAACATGTTGATTCAATGGGACTGAGACGCTTCAAATCGACAACTCTCAGTGCGTTTGGATGTCACCATACGAAAACAACAAGAAGTATCACCGCGTGTTTTCGGCACAGTTTGGGAATTGGTTTTCCCAAGAGCTTGAATGTTATGCATGTTATGTTGTTGGCTATATGTTTCCTATACATTTTATACTTTTACATTTTGAATAGGAGTACCAAAGTGAAGAAAGCCGTTTTAACTCAATTGGTAAAAAAAAATGATGTTAACGTCCTACAGGTATTGCTTGGGGATCAGTTTTCTTAATAGCCAAGGTTATTTTGTTGGCTAAATGTTTCTTATACATAAATATTACAATTTTGGTTATTATATAACATTTTGTATCAGAATATTAAAGAAGAAATTTGGCTATTATAAAAGAAATATATATATATATAAAACATGTTTTCTGTCCTTTTTGTGTTAAATTACTAAATTTTAAATCTTGCTTCATAGTATTGTCATTAAAAAAATGTAATTTAAACAACAATATTGAACCAGAAATGTACTAGCTTATTTAACAAGACATAATTTTGTTAAAGTAAAGTAAAAGGCCTCCCTTTTGACACAACTTATCCATTGGCGCCCCCCTCCTCCCAAACACGCACGCACACACACGCACACACGCACACGCACACACACACACACACACACACACACACACACACACACACACATTATATATATATATATATATATATATATATATATATATATATATATATAAAGACACAGACAGATGTCAGACGGTTAACTCACTTTTATCATCATTTGCATGAAAGTGCAATTATTTACAGAGTAATAACAAGTATTTTAAT